TTCCTCTAGTTCCAAACAGTGTGAGTTGAACCCGATAGAATTAATCTGGGCTCAAATTAAGGGGTACGTAGCTCGTGAAAACGTGACATATAAAATTTCTGATGTCCAACGTTTATTAGAACTCGCAATGGAACGGATACGGAAAGAAGATTAGGCTAATGCTGTAGCCCATGTGATCAAGAAAGAAGAGAAAATGTGGAGATTGGGTGGGATGGTAGACACTGTTTTTGACCAAATAATAATATATTTGAGTGTGATTGGGGATTCCTCATCGACGAGTCAATGGATTCTGAACCTTCATAAGCATAACATAGTTAATTATTTCTTTGCTTTGTTGTTTTCTTTCTACATTAAAGAAACTTAATAATTGTTTTACAAATTTTTCTGTTTTTTTTGAAGTATTGTATTAGGCATAATAAGAAAATGTAATCAGTTTTACCATTGACCCCAGGTAGCGCCACCTACTATAACAATTTTTACGTAATTACCTATGTGTTTGAATAAATAAAAATATTATTTTGGTACGCCTCTGCAATGTTGGTAAGAGGATTATCCCTTGGTCACTTTAAATTCGACATTGCTAATGAATCACCTTCAATTGAAAATTGTTATAATGTAGCAACTATTTTAGGCCTGAATTGTATGATCTGGACACCAACAAGACAGCGCTACGTGCCATACAGCTCATGCCACATTGGATATTTTGTACGAGCGATCCAAGGGCATGGTCATCTCACGTGGGATGATGTGAACGGACCACCGAATTCGGGCGATTTGACCCCGTTAGACTTTTTCTTGTGGGGTCTTCTGGAGTCGCAGGTGCCTGCGAATAAGCCACAAACCACAGCGGTCCAGAAAGCCAACATAACTCATGGTATCGGTCAAATTCTGCTTGATTTATGGCCCAGAGTCATGGAAAATTGGACGTTCCAAACGAATAAAAAATTTTGATAATATCTCAGTGTCTATTTGACAGTTCAATGTATTTTTTATCTTTATTGCCATCAAAAATATATAAAATTATAATAACAACTATTCAAACTAATCCAGCAAATAGATCGGTTTATTGTTAATAAAAGGTATAACGTTGTGCATGAGCAAGTTACCTAATCTATCAATGAACATTGTAAAGTAGGAGACACAAAATGTGAAATGTACACATCAAAATTTGATATAAAATGTATAAATGTGAAATAGTAATATCAGGAGATGCATACATATAAATTTTAAAATGTATAAATATACTTATGAGTAGTAAATATACTTATGGTGTAGCATTTAATTTTACTGGAGTTTTTTCCCAACACCAAATCGTTATTTTNATACAATGGAATTCGAACTTTCGATACTTTACTTACTGTTCGAGGTAACTTATTCAGTATATCCTTCTTTCAATAAGTTGATTCACTCTTTCTGCACGTACTGTTTGAAGCCACTTTTTGATATTTTTTTTAATATTTGTTGGTTGCGGATATGTCTTGGCTCATTGGGTATTTCAGCATAGACAATACCATAGACATGGTATTTTTGTTGTTTTCTGTTTCAATTTTGTGTCATGATTGTGTTCGATAGTAGCCATCCATAAGTTGTTTATTTTTGTGATGTTGGATAGCTAGATTCATGAAATATAAGTGCCTTTGAGGAAGCAGATGGTAAGATTCTTAAATTTTTCATTCTAGGTAAAAGTTACGTTGAAGGGAAAGTCAGAAATTACTGTTTCCTCATAATCATTTTTTTTTCAGTTGTATTTATCGAATACGATGCTAAGGTAGAAACAAATATCGTCATCTTGAGTAGAATACTAGATTTTCTGGAAATTTGCTGCCATAGATGTACTGATT